TTGTGGTTGTAAGGATGCTAAGGAGAGATAAGTGTCCCAGTGTTTTTCAAGGTGCCCTTGCCAGGAGAGCCATCGCAGCATATATTTTACGTGGTCTGTAACCAGCGATGATTTGTTTTTACATTGTCAAGAATTTGCAGGAGGAGAGCAGAAGAGACAGCTGTCTGCACAAAGCTGAAAACCACCTGAGTTTTAGTCATCCTCCTCAACCCCCCCCCCCCCTGCCTCAGCACTGAGGATCAAACTCAGGGCCTCATTTACCGCTTCGCTGTATCCCCAGATTCAAAAATACCCTCTGACCCTTTATGGAAGAAGTTTGCCGACGGCTAGTCTAGAAATACACTTGGTCTGCTGGGCTCGCTGCTCGCTGGAGATGTAGAATTGTCTGTTTCCCTAACAGATTACCAGGCCCTCACCAGGCCGACAGCAATTCCCTCTGTGGAAAAACCACCCTTAAGCCTCAAAACTCAGAAGAGTTTTGAGTGGCATGCAAATCTTCCCTGGGCTCTTTGGCACTTGACAGTATCTCCCACAGATAACCAGATACCAAAGAGCCATTCCTGTCCAGTAAAACCCTCCCCGGAGCCGGGAGGATCGCACAGCTGGTCCGGTTAGATGTCGTTCAGAGTGAGGCTCTTAGCGCATTGGAGGAATGTTAATTGCTAAGTGTGGGCTGAAACCAAAGGGCTTCACAATGTCCTTAAGCTGCTCTAAGTGTACACAGACCCAGAATTTTAGAATCGGAAAAGGTCTGGGAGATCATCAAGTTTAGCCCCTTAAGAGCAGGGGCCGCGAGCCAGACTGCGTGGCTCTTCCCCTTAATCCTCCTGTGTCTCAGTTTCCTCGGCTCTAAAGTGGGGCTAAGAATAACTCCTAGCTGGGCTGCGACAGACGCGAACGTTTCCCACACAACATTCAAGCGGCAGAGCTGACTATGGAACGGGACTCTCCGCTCATGCATGTGTTCATAAGCGTTCATGTTTCATCCGTGTTTCCAGGAGGTGTCTCATTTTACAGTTACAGACTGTGTAACTTTAGTGTCTAGCATCTTTCCTTTAGTGTTTTTATATTTGCATATAATGTATGTTATTTTCATATTACATATAACAGCAGTTAATTTTTCTGAGGATGAACCACTCTTTATCCATTAGGCCTGGATGAGCCTTTGAGTTGTTCTGTCTTTTGACTGTTGGTGCTGTCAAAACACTTGAGGGTTAATCCCAGGTTCCGTTTTCTTAGGTCAGATCTTGGGAGTAAAGGTGTTGTGTTGGTATCCTCTAATTCTAGGCTTTAACTTTTTGAGGCATTGATGTGGGAGTGATTTCTTATTAATAACGAAACTGCCTAGGCCCCTTGATAGGCCCACCCTTAGGTGGGTGGAGAAAACAGAAGAGAATTCTGAGAGAAAGAAACTTAGTGGAGGAGTCACCATGATTCTCCCGCTCCAGACAGACGCAGGTTAAGATCCTCCCTGGTAAGCCAGCTCGTGGGCTACACAGAATATTAGAAATGGGTTAGAACAATATATAAGAGCTAGCCAATAAGAGGCTACAGATAATGGGCCAGGCAGTGTTTGAAAGAATACAGTTTCCGTGTAATTATTTCTGGGTATAAGCTAGCCATGTGGGCGGCCGGGTGCCGGGGACGCAGTCCTGCCGCTCCTAATTCAACAAGGCATCTCTGAATTTTTGTTTTCCATGGCAGCAACATTGGTCTGTAAGGGTTCTGATTTTTCTGCCCTTGTCAGCATAAGCTGATTATTATTATACTATTATTATTATAGTAATTATAGTATATACTATACTATATATTATGTGATGGCCGTCCTATGTGGCTACTATACTACACTATACTACACTACACTACACTACACTACACTACACTATACTATACTACACTATACTATACTACACTATACTATACTACACTACACTGTACTACACTATACTATACTACACTACACTACACTACACTATACTATACTACACTACACTATACTACACTACACTACACTACACTACACTACACTACACTACACTACACTACACTATACTATACTACACTATACTATACTACACTATACTATACTACACTACACTGTACTACACTATACTATACTACACTACACTACACTACACTATACTATACTACACTACACTATACTACACTACACTACACTACACTACACTACACTACACTACACTACACTACACTATACTATACTACACTATACTATACTACACTATACTATACTACACTACACTGTACTACACTATACTATACTACACTACACTACACTACACTATACTATACTACACTACACTATACTACACTACACTACACTACACTATACTACACTACACTACACTACACTACACTATACTATACTACACTATACTATACTACACTATACTATACTACACTACACTGTACTACACTATACTATACTACACTACACTACACTACACTGTACTACACTACACTACACTACACTACACTACACTACACTACACTGTGAGAGCCCTCCTACTGTGGCCGAAGTAGCCTTTCCTGTAGTTTTCTTAGTGTTTCTCTAGAATCAGGACTGCCAAGCAAGTGTCCCTCGTGTGCCTGTTGACCTCTGGCATCTTTTCTTTGTAGAAATCCATCCTCCAGTTCTTTGCCCACTTTAACATTCAGCTGTTTGTTTGTTTTTCTGTTGTTGTTAAACTGAAGCCAATTTTGAGTATTAAACTTTTAATTAACTATATCTGAAATCTTTTCTACTGTTCTCTGGGTTGTTTTTTCCTTATATTAATGTCCTATATAAAGTTTTAAATTTTAGTAAATTCCAATTTGTTATTTCTTTTTTGGGCCATAAGATTATATTAGTTTTAAGGTTACTAGCTTTATTATTAAGGTTGTAGTTAATTTGGGGGTAATTTTACTCTTGGCTGTTAGGGAGGGTGCGTCTTCTTGCTCCTCACCATCTAGTTGTTTCGACACGGTTTACGAAGAGCTTGTTTCCCCCGGAATACCCTGGCACCTGCTGTAGATACGCTGTGAGAGTCGGTCACAGATACGTGGGTTTAATCTCTACGTTCTCAGTTCTGTTTCTTTCCTTCCTTTGGCCTCCCTTCTGCTTGTACCATCTCGGTTTGCTTGCCGTTGCCTTTCAGTACATTTGGAATCAGAAAATGTGAGTCTGCTTTGTTCTCTTTTCCATATTTGTCAGCTCCCTCTGATTCCGCGTTAACTAAAGTTGGCTTTCCCCTGTCTGTAGAGATGGCAGATGGGATTTTGACAGAAAGGCGTCGGATCTGTGGATGGATCCGGTATTGTTTCTGCCTTGACGGCATCCAGAACAGGAGATTTTTCCATTTTGTTTTGGCCCAATTTGGGTATACTTTGTATTTCCTGCCTAATTGTTCTGGCTAGAACTTAGGTTGGATTATGTGCTTGATTTTTTTCTCTCTCTCTCATTCAAGGCTAAGTATATGAATAGCCCACATTTTGTTTGTCTTTTCCTCTGTCTGTGGACCGTTGGGCTGTTTCCACTCATTGGCAATTGTGAATAAGGCTACTATGCCCACAGACACACAAATCTTAGATTCAAATCTTTGCTTTCTTTTGGGGATATATCCAGAAACACTTGCCAGAGTGCATGAAGTAATCATCTTAATTTGCCACTAGATTAGTTTTGCTAATATTTTGTGGAGGATTTCAGTGTGTATGTTTATAAATCGTCTTCAGTTTTCTTATGCTTTGTTTGGCTTTGATGTGAGCTCTGCAGTGATCTCTCCTTCCTCCCCTTGCCCTCCCCTCTCCTTTCTTCTCTGAAGACTTGGAGCTGGATTGCCACTCTTATTGTCGTTCTTATTTCAGAAATTCTAGGATTACCAGTCAAGTCTACATCCCCACTTTTAAACTTTTATTAATTTCTCCTGTTAGTCTTACGGTTATTGATTTCCCTTCTTTATGTGTGAAAAGTCTGCTTAGATTTTCTGTTTCGTCTCGAGTCACTTTTGGTAGTTCTTGCATTCCTACAAATTTTTACTTTTTCTAGAAACCCCCACCTGGAATTCCATGGTGGCTATACTAACTAACTCACATCCCTCCTTTCCCTCACGTCTTTGCCAGTATCTATTATATCAGTTACTTAGTGTTGACTGCATGTCTCTCCCTTTGTGGATATTAACCTTTCCTGTACATTTATGAGGTTTGTATTACTGTCATTTCTGTGTTACATGCAGAGAAAACAGCCGACTGAGGTTTAGGTGACAGTCACAGATCTGGTGTATCGAGGGCTTGAGATAAATCCTGATAGTCCTAGTCCAGAATGTCTTATGAGTCAGGGTCACAGGAAGCTCAGGCTGGCCCCAAACTGCTCTGTAGCTAAGGGTGACCTTGGACTTCCGATTCTCCTGCCTCTACCTCCCAAATGATATTTACACATATACCACTCCCTCTCTTTCATGGGGACTGCTGAAGGAACCCAGGGCTTCGCACATTGCTGGGCACCAACAGCTACAGCTCTGCGGCCTGTGTCCTCATTACCATTTATACTGCCTTCCTTGAGTAGCAGAGACACCTGCCTTGTTCCTATGTCACCGTGTTATACTCTTGTTAGAAACCGCAGTGCTGGCATGGGTGGGAACTCTTGTATCTTATCTTCCCGAGTAGGACTTGAGTCCTGTTGGGGCTCAGCCCCGTGGAAAGAACAGCACACCCTTGGGCAGTCACGCAGTGCACTGAAGGACTCTTCAGTTGTCCCTGGGAAACTGACCACAATCCCCAGCTGGAACTGATCCTTTCCGTGAGCACAGTGAGGGAGAATTGATTCTGAATGCACTTGTCCGAAAGGTTCGACAGCGGCTCCACGGAGACTACACTAAACTTTGGGAAGTCTCTGACATTTTCAGTGGACCCGGTCTTTCATAAGCCATGTCCAAAGGCCAGTGTGGTTGATCTGCGCATAGGTTTCGCTTCTTTCTGCTTACTTTCTTCACTGTGTCTTCCAGGGTCATTCCCATGTACAGAAGACCATCCTTCAGGTGGACCAGAACTGTGTCCGCAATTCCTATGACGTCTTCTCTCTGCTGCGGTAAGAAACTCCTTAGAGCCTCCAGGATTCGGATGGATCTCCCCTTTGTGCGTCTGTGGTGGGTGTGCCAGAGCTCGAGACGCTGTTACTCAGGCTTAGCATTTTTTAGGGAAAGCTCCATAAATTCTGTAGCTCCGGTGACTTAGGTTTATCTCCTCGGCAGCATCTTTGAAAAGCCATTTCCTCTTACTGGGCAGTGGGTTAGAGCAGTTGGAAGCAGGAGGATCGTAAAACAAAGACCGTGGTACTCGCTGGTCTGTCCTAGAAGCTGCAGCGTAAGGACATGCCAGGAACTTACCAACTGTTCCTTCCCCAGGAGAAGCCACCAGCAGCCCTAGGCATGGCTTAGGAGGTTGGCTTGCTCATCATCTTAAAAGGATCCTGTATGACAGGCCGAAGGAGCTTTGGAGCTATCTAGGGTCAAAGGCTTAAATACCTCGGCTCTCTGAATGTATATAGATGTCTGTATGTAAAATGTTTGGGATTCATTTTGGATGATTGAAAAATTTTGCTTCACATGTGGTAGATGATCAGGAACATTTCACCCAGTGAGCGGTGACACTCGGCCCTTGCGCGCTCAACTCAAGACTGTAGTTGAAATTTGATTTGGGTAGGGTTTTTTCTAATGTTTACCTAACACATCATAAATTTTAGACCATTACGTATCCTCTATAGATTTTCTGGTGGAAGAGTCCAGAAGGGTTCTCAAAGAATGCACGCTTGTTTTATAAACTCCATGCAAGGGGCCTTCCTTTATGAGCCTCGAGTCTTTTGTTCGACAACACAGAACTTAGTCACATGACTCTTAAGGGACAATGTCTCTAGAGCAACCACATATACTTGATGACGTTCGACTCGTGTCTGAGAGTTGTCTTCAATTTGCCTGCTTAGGATATGTAGCAAAACAGAAAGAATTTACCAATTGACCAGACATCCTTCTGAGTCTGTTGAATTGGGGATACCGTGAGTGTTAATGGAGTGTCCAGAAAGGGTTGAAATGTCAATAAACTGCTAACATTTCCTGACCTGTTTTTCTCAGTAAAATGATAGCAAGAGAGCATTTTTTAAGTATGAGACTGTGTGATCTTACCGGAGAAAAGCAAATCCCAAACCATAGGAGTTTGGCATAGTGCGACAGGGAAAGAGGGCACCTTAAAGGGTGCCAAGAGCTCTAGGTTATCGCAGAGAACAGGAGTAAAGAGGTATGACACCACAGGGAGGGCTGTGAGTGGGGCTGCAGGCATAGATAGCCGAGTGGAAAAGCACTTGTCTACCGTGCACGAGGTCCAGAGTTCAAGCCCTGGTACCTCTGCCGTCCCTGTTGACTCCAGCTCGCTCAACCTCTCCAGCTCTTGTGATGGAGGAAGTGTGTTGTTACTAAGTGTATATGTTATGTATGTAGCTTGTATAATTTACAGGTGTTTCCTATCACAGTTGTGACAACTCATTGTTTCATAACAACACAGGCTCACTTTCATGTGTATATGAGTTGTGGTGGTGTATCACATTGTGTGTGTGTGTGTGTGTGTGTGTGTGTGTGCATGCGTGCAGGATGGGTATGCACACACACAGGGCAGAGGAAGGCATTGGAGGTTTTACTTTGTCACTTCCCTCCTGACTTGCTTGCTCCAGACAGGGTTTCTCACTATAGTCTGCACCTCTGCTGGGCTGGTTGGTCAGTAAGCTCCCGGGTCCTCTGTGTCCATCCCCAGTCCTGGTTGCGGTGCTGTTAGCTACACCCAGACTTCACGAGGATCCTCTTGTACCCACCAAACCCTTCTCCAGGTCCAAGATCCAGCTTTTCTGAGCTAGATTAAATGTCTATTTATCAACCACTTACCCACCTGAACTGAGTGAGTCGCCCCGCATCCAGGAACTCTTCAGTTGTACTTACCACAGTTCCGGAACGTTGTACAAGTTCTTTCAGGCAGCAGTGGGCAGCCAATGCTTTATTGAAAGCATTATTCTCCCCGTAGCCTTTTGCTGTGGTAGATGTGGAATGCTTGCTGGGAAACTCGTGTCTCTCTCGGACTGCTTTTCTTTGTTCTTTTCTTTACTCAGTTAACATTGGGATATTTTTAAAACTATATTTTCTTTTTCTGGTTCTTCTTGATTTATAACATGTTTGTTACTTGGTCTATAATTTGAAAACATAGCCACAGCTGGGCACGGTGGTATGAGCCTGTAATCCTGCCACTTAGGGGCAGGCAGATGGATCAGGAGTTTACAATCATCTTCGGCTACGTGTCAAATTCAAGGCCAGCCTGGGCTACGTGAGACTCTGTCTCCAACAACAACAGCACCCACAGTGCCTGTGATCGTTACTAGCCCTTAGCTCCAGAGCGAGTCTTCTGATTCTGTTTTTTAGGAGTATAGTCTCACTTGTACAGGCTGGGAGGTATAGCAGGACTCACTTGCTAACACTGAGGTAAGGTGGTTTCACGGTTGAGGCTACATAGTGAGTTTTAGGCCAGCCTGCACTATATAGTGAGACCTTGTCTCAAAATTAAAAAAAAATCTATCTTTCACTATATTGTTAGGCTTCTAGGATGCATAGTCTCCTTATGCATTCGCTTGTGAGTGTCGTGGAAAACTGGAGAGTCTTGGTGAGTTAGGACCTTGAAACAAGGGCGTGCACCGAAACTACATTCTTGTGATGGGAGTTTCATATGGTTTGGTGGGAAAGCAGCTACAGTGCTCACTCTGGAGACCCTGGGCTAGTAAACACGACCCTGCAGGAGAAGCCGCATCTTCCGTGCTGGGTGTGACTGTAGGAATACTCTGGAGGTGGAAGGTCCGTTTCCCAGTAAGCAGACAATTAGCTCCTTTGCGCTTGTGTTTTGTGCTTTGGGATGCTCACCACAAGGTGTCAATGTTGTTCTTTAACTGACATTTGAAATGTCATCTACTTTCCAATTTGGGGGGAGCAAACGGGCAGGAGGGCTTTGGTGGCATATACACCGGTGTTATGACATGCTGTTAAATAAGGAGTTGTCTAAATCTAGCCTTTCTGGTTTCAGGAGCATGGGGGCGCTGGATTTGTGGCTGTTGTTGCCTTTGTTGTATTTTGGCGGTGGTCGTGAGTTACTGAATGGTTATAAGAGAGGAGAGGATTTATGGTGAGGGGGTCTGGTGAGGTGTACTGTCTAGATTCTAACCCTGATGTCGGCATGGGATAGACATGGGATGATACTGCAGTCAGGGAAGAAGAATCACTTCTAATCCTGCTGCTCTCTGAGGGTAAAAGATTGGGGTGACTTCCTCGCCCCTGTCCCTGCACCCATTCTAGAGGGAACTGTATTGTAGTGTGGCAGACTTTCTGCCTACTCAGTCTTTGTCCTTCCACCTTGGAAATGTGCTGCCTTGCCCAGATTAATATAGGCAGAGCAGCGGTGAGACTGTGGTCCCTGATGCGGCCCTGGTACTGAAAGTGCTGTGGTTGGAGATGGCTCAGTGGTTAAGATCACTTACTGCTCTTGCAGAGGACCCAGGTTTTGTTTCTGGCACCCACAAGGTGGCTCATGGCCAACCATCTTCTGTAACTCAGTTCTAGGAAATTCAGTTCTACTTTTGACCTTCATGGGCTCCTACACACATGGTACATGCACACGCGCGTGTGCACACACACACACACACACATATGCACGCACACGCTCAGTCACACAGGCGTAAAATACATCTTAAAGAGAACCGGGCCAGGTATGCCGGGGTTAAAGGTGTGCACCACCTCTCCTGGCCCAGCACCGAGGATGATGATCCAACCCTTTTGCCATACGATGTCGCTTATGTGGTAAAATCCGCTCTTTTGCCTGTTTCGTAGATGAGTAAGTTGAAACACAAGGCAGTTAGTAGCTTACTCACGGTCACAGAGCTGGTTCGTGTGAGAGCCTCTCTTCAGACTCAGGTGTTCTGGGCTCAGACCCCAGCTTTGCCAGCAGTCTGTCTTACCGCTTTGCAGTCCCCGGCTACTTCAGTACCGGTCCCTGCCACGTCCTGCCAGAGCCATCTGTCAACGGGTGCATCGGCTCTGTCACTTTGAGCCATTATGTGCAGGATGAAGTTCACACTCACCGTGGTGTTCAAAGGCCACTGAGAACACACCTCCTTGGAACGATTGTCTTATTTCCAGTGCTCCGCTCATCTGTGAGTAATAGCTGTCGTTTATGGAGCACCTACTGAGTTCAAGGTAGCCCTTCACTCCTCAGCAGTCCCACACCGGGAGCTCTGTGTTCGATTGATCCTTCTATCAGCCCCGCCACACGGGTATCACACATGAAGACTGTCTCAGCACACAGATTAGCAGGTTTCATTATGACATTTTTATTCATAGTTTTGGTTGATTCCCCTCCCACCTGCTACCAGCTCCTCTGCCCGTCTCCCTCACCTGCCTCCCTCAGACCTTCCCATTCCAGCATCCTCATTTCCACGTTCAGTCATGTGGTCTCTCACCCGTTCCGACATACTTCACCTCTGCCAGGCCATTCTAGTTTCTTATCCTCGTTCCTCACCCTTCATCAATCCCCGGATATAAATGCTGTTTCTCCTGAGTGGCTCTCGGGCTCTCCAGGCTACAGAGCCCAAGGCGAGTGTTGAAAGTCTCCTCAGACCCAGGGCTGCACTGCCCCTCCTCTCTTTGCCATGTGCCATCCCATGAGTTTTCAGAAATCCGTGACTTGTAACCTTTCCCTTTTCTGTATGGTTTTCTGAAAGGCCTTCGTTTGCCCTCTAGAGGCAAGTTCCCGTCCCTCCTTGGGGAACTCTTTTCACCTCTAAACTTTGTTTCAGAAGTGTCCAGCCATCCAATAGAAGTAAGTTATCCTGCGGGTAATCTCAGAGACCGTGGGGCATAGGAGTCGGTCTTTAAATGCGGACGTGACTCTCAGCTTTTAGGTGGGGAAGCCTCGTCTCTGGGGGGCAATGACAGCCACAGACAGTTCAGAGCTCCACGCGCCACAACGTCGATGCAGTCAAAGTCATGCTTCTCTGCCCAAGGCAGAGGT